CGTTTGTATTACTTATACACGACGGTGTTATTTAACTACTGTCATGGTTATAATTAGATGACGTTTGTTGAAAATCCGTCGTCTATATATGTCAAATACGTCTGTTTTTGTTTAAAAACCGTCGTCTCTGTTGTATATTACTTGCTATTAGAACTTTATATAATCTGCTATAGTGATGGTCATTGCTTGTCTTTTCACTTTATTATATGTAATAGGGTATAATGTCGGAGATGGATAAGTCATGGATGCACTCGGATAGAAGATCGAAGGCATATGAGTTAGGGGTGGAAGCATTTTTGAACTTTTCTGTAGAAAATCTTCTAACTACAACACATATCCGTTGTCCATGTGTTAAATGTGTTAATTTGAAATTGTTTGGGGTTGGAATTATAAGGGATCACTTATACTTTAATGGAGTTGACCAAAGCTATAAGAATTGGACATTTCACGGAGAACCTTGGGAAGCAACTACTAATGCTAGTAGAAATGTTGAAGAAGATGATGGCCATAGTAGGTATAGTTTTGTGTCTGAAGAAATAGAGATGGATGATAATGATTTTGGTGATTTTGGATCTGATCCTTATGAGTTTGCCAATGTGATTGGGGATGGAGATCAACCATTGTACCCTGGTTGTAGAAAGTACACGAAGTTATCGGCATTAGTGAAGTTGTATAATTTGAAGGCAAAACATGGGATGAGTGATGTCTGTTTTACAGAATTATTGATACTTCAAGGCGATTTGCTTCCAGAAGGAAATACAATACCGGCCTCTATGTATGAGGCAAAAAAGACTTTGTGTGCATTGGGGCTGAGTTATGAGAAAATGCACGCATGCCCCAATGATTGCATCTTGTATAGGAAGGAGTATGAGGATTTAACTCATTGTCCTAAGTGTGGTATCTCAAGGTGGAAGGAAGGCAAAGATTCAATCTTGAAAGAGGGTGTGCCAGCGAAGGTGGTGTGGTATTTTCCTCCAATTCCAAGGTTTAAAAGGATGTTTCGATCACATGAGACCGCTAAGAGTTTGACTTGGCATGCTGCTAGAAAATCAATTGACGGTTATATGTCTCATCTGGCGGATTCCCCCTCTTGGAAACTTCTTGATGATAAATGGCCCGAGTTTGGTAATGAGCCGAGAAACTTGAGATTGGCTCTGTCATCTGATGGATTCAATCCCCACAGTTCTCTAAGTAGCAGATATAGTTGCTGGCCAGTTATCTTAGTTACATATAATCTCCCTCCATGGCTGTGCATGAAACGAAAGTTCATGATGTTGACCGTATTGATTTCCGGTCCTAAACAACCCGGAAATGATATAGACGTCTACTTGGAGCCTTTGATTGATGATTTAAAATCTTTGTGGGATGGGATTGGAGGAGTGTATGATGCACATAATGGAGAATACATTACACTCAGAGCTGCATTAATGTAGATAATTAATGATTTTCCTGCCTATGGAAACTTATCTGGTTGCGTTGTTAAAGGATATAAAGCTTGTCCAATATGCGGCGATGATACACCTAGTCACAGGTTGAAAAATGGCCACAAAATTTGTTACATTGGGCATAGAAAATGGTTACCGATCAATCATCCATATAGGAGGCAACGTGCAGCTTTTAATGGGAAACCTGAATATGGCACGCCTCCTGAGCCATTAACCGGAGAAGAAGTGCTGCATATGGTTGAAGATGGTGACAGAGTTTGTTGGAAGAAGAAATCAATATTCTTTGATCTCGAGTATTGGAAATACCTTCCTGTGAGGCATGTCCTAGATGTTATGCACATTGAGAAGAACGTTTGCGATAGTATCATTGGTACATTGCTGGAGATACCTGGAAAAAATAAAGATGGGATTGCTGCTCGATTAGATTTATTGAACATGGGGGTCAAAACTGATTTGCAACCCGAGTATGGAGAAAGACGTACTCGTTTGCCTCCCGGGCCTTGGAATTTGTCAAGAGCAAAGAAGAGAGAGGTTTGCAATTCTTTCTATGGTATGAAGGTCCCTGAAGGTTATTCTTCAAATATAAAAAATCTTGTATCTTTACAAGATTCAAGACTTCTTGGCCTTAAATCACATGATTGTCATACCTTAATGCAACAATTGCTCCCTGTGGCAATTCGTTCTGTTTTGGAGAAGCCTGCAAGGTATGCAATAACTCGTTTGTGCTTCTTCTTCAATGCTATATGTGCAAAGACTGTTGATGTTTCCAAGCTAGATAAGTTGGAAGAAGATGTAGTAGTTACTTTGTGTTTGCTTGAGAAGTACTTTCCCCCTTCATTCTTTGATATCATGGTTCATCTAGTAGTACATCTTGTCAGAGAAGTTCGTCTGTGTGGGCCAGTATATTTTAGATGAATGTATCTGTTTGAAAGATATATGAAAGTGCTAAAGGGGTATGTTCAGAATCGTACTCGTCCCGAAGGTTGCATTGCTGAGCGGTATATAGCTGAAGAAGCTGTAGAGTTTTGTACCGAGCATTTATCTGATGTTAGTACAGTTGGAGTGCCTTCAAGCCAAAAGATGGGAGTTTCAAAGCCATTATCAGGTTGCACAGTGAGCGTAGTTGATCGGGACCTGTTGAACCAAGCACATCTATATGTCTTGGAGAATACGGAGGAAGTCCTACCTTATATCGAGTACGTATGAGTTTTATTCTTTAAGTTTCCATTTTAAATTATTTCTTATGTTTATCTTATATGTTTGGGACCGTAATACTTGAATTTTGTGTGTCATGTAGGCAACATATGATCCACATCCAGACCACTTATCCAAAATTTAGAAAGAGAACAAAGTGGCTGCAGGATAAGCACAATAGCACTTTCATGCAATGGCTACGCTTCAAGGTATATGTTATTGAATAACATATTGGACTTTTAATTTTCTTCTTTCTATGTTAGATTGAATGAAGTTATATGATTAATTTGCAGGTTCAAAGTGAACTTAATGAGGAATACAATCATGGCGTAACAGAAAATTTAAGGTGGCTAGCAGCTGGTCCAAACATGGCAGTGCCATTATATAGGAGTTATCTTATTAAAGGTATTAAATTCAACATCAAGGCACAAGATGATGTGCGGACAACTCAAAATAGTGGAGTTTATTTACTTGCACATACTATGCAAGTTGCTAGTGCCAAGGATAAAAACCCAATTCTCTCAAATATGGGTTTCTATGGTGTCATTCAAGAAATTTGGGACCTTGACTACCAAAAGTTTACAATCCCAGTCTTTAGGTGTGATTGGATTGATAATACTTCTGGTCTTGTAGTGGACGAACTTGGATTTACCCTTGTAGATTTGAGTAAAATTGGACATAGGAATGACCAATTTGTTTTGGCTTCTCAAGTCAAACAAGTATTTTTTGTTGACGACCCGTCGATGCATCGTGGTTGGTCAGTAGTGTTATCAATGCCTAGTAGAGAATATAATGATGTTATTGGTGATGATGTCTTAGGTGATGTGAGAATTGAGTGTGAGCCATTGACTAGGGGGATGCCAAATGTTGACACATTTGATGAAGTGGTGGTTGAGTTAGGGAGTCAAAATATTCGAGATGGGTGTGAAGATATATGGGTTGAATGATGCTTTATGTAATTGGCAGTGTATGACATTAATTTTGTAATATATTGTAATGTGATTTCTTCACTTTCATTAGACGGGTTTTGGCCACAAAACAATCAGAACAAAAATTACTGGTTCCAGATTACAAA